CTGGTATTATTTATATTAGTATATTAAAATCATATATAAAAACAAGACTAGTACAAAATTTACACATATTAGTTCAAATTTGTGATCAATATTGATCACAAAAAACTGATCACAAATTTGATATTTCTGATCACATTTTTTTGTGATCAAAACTGATCACAATTTTCGGCACGAYRAGGGGGGCCTGGGAATCTAAKTATTTTCCAAAAAATTGAAATCGACATGGTTCCTKAAGTAGACTGTTWAGACTTTTTGATCATCTAGATTACCGGGAATGACCCAATTCGAACAAGAAGTGCTCTCGGAATGATTGTCTGTCCTTCAGTCAAACAAATCAGGATGTCAAGGCCGTTTCATATCGACTTGTGAACGCCCATTGAATGCACGCCYCTGGTTCTTCGGCCCTGACGTCACAAACGGAAGCATTCCGACTAGATTAGTACCATATTCCCAACGATCAATGCCGTAGAAGTTGAAGGAACGCTTTTTGGAGAGGAAGCGGAAGATCCGGCKTAACAATCGTTTCTCATTGGTTCTTACCTGTTTTTGTGACGTCAMGTCTATCCTAAACAAAACGAACAATGTTCGCCCGAATTTTCTATTCGCTCGAATKGAAGCCACTGTTGGTGTGGGTTTTCATCCAATCATACMGCGATAAAACTCAGACTCAGCTATTGGGCATCAAAATGAGCCAATCAGAACCCCCCAACACGCAGTTTGCCCCTCGATCTGTTGCTTCAACTTCTACATCGTAGTGTTTTATGGAATTGTATGGAGATTTTTTTCAATTTGACTAAACCCTGTTGCTCTTTCATGGGAAGGAGTGTGTTTGTGGTTGCCCATCGTGCCTCCAACTGTTTTGGACTGCTGCTCACCTTGCTAGTGTTATGRATAATTSTATTCGACGAGTATATGCATTGTCAAGAAACATCGAACCCTTGATAGGCGCATTTACCCTGAGCAACAGTTGAAAAAGGCTAGTATCGGGGCAACGGATAAGAAGCATCAAAGTGATTGCAATCTTTTGAAGACGGTTTATTCGCAGTGAAAAAAGTCTCAAGTTCMGTTCGCAAATACTCACTGGGGTCACATCATATCATTTTACATCAAACCATTTAGAATAAAACACGACGCCCAAAATATAGACACACGCTACACAAAACATGAGAATACGGAACAGATCTTATGCCACGGCGTTTGCTGTGTCTGCTGCTACAATCGCGAGTTTTTCTTCGCAGCAAGTGACGGATGCATTGCGATCCTCCTCGTCACCTCGATTATTATCTTCCCCTCGGACCAAAACAAAAATACGAACGACAACAAGAATCACGCCGACAAGAACAACAACGAGAAGAAGGGTGTCCCATGTGGCATGCCGAGCCTCCCGAACGGAAACCGATCAGAATACCAATACCAATTCCAACAACGAAACGATACGCATTCGGAGGAAAGCCAATGGTGCCCCCGTTATTGATTCCGTCTTGCTTCAATTCATATCTCAGCAAAACAATATCCCGGACGCGTTTCGGGAAGAAAAAGTGGCGGAAGGAGTTGCGAATATACTCGAGACAGCACGAATAGATCCCGGAGCAGATGAGTTTAATAGCGATGACTATGAAGGGCCACCGATACGAGCTTACATGAATTCGACGGACCTGTCGTCAGGCGAAACGAAATTGGTCAGAACTTCCGAGGATTCGAAGGAATTGCCACCACCACTAACACAGCCAGAGGACAAGAAGCATTCACTAGCCGAAGAAAATGTCAACTACGCGTCTACAACAGACGCAATCAAACGAAAACTTACGGACACCGGAGGTTCCGTTGCTGCTGTCGACCCCGAGTCAAGCTCCGAATCACAAGACTCTATCGCACCGAAAACCGCGTCCTCTTGGATGATCCAATTCGGCAGCTCAAGCGTTGCCCAGATGTTGCTAAAGGAAGCCGGCGTCGAAGACTCGTTGGCCGCKAAGACCGCTGGGGATGCAGTCGAACGGTACTGCGTCGTTCGAACCGCCCGCCGCCGGATCCGCCGTTTTCTCAAGGAACGCGACAACCTCTGGGCCAGCACCGTCGAGGACCGCAGCAGCAGCGCCCGAGCCGAGCTGGAATCCCTAGCCGCCTCGGACATGGCCACGAGTCCAGCGGCCAGTTTACTGCTCTCGTCTGCCGAGGAGCATCGCGATAAAAGCGACAATACGATCAGAGATCCGTCGTATGGGTTTACGGATGTTATTGAGGTCTTGAAGGACTACGGTCTGACAGGAGACGACATTTGCGTCTTGTTGACCCATAGCCCGAACCTGGCACTGCGGGTTCCCCGCAAATCCTTTTTGCGGGAAGGGGAAACGGATCATGCCGAAACTCTCGAGGAGACACTGGATAGATCCCTCACCGGGTTGCTCCTGGGGAGACTGAACCTGCGCAGATACGATGCCCGTAAGATTCTGCGAACCTGCCCCGGCTTGTTGTCGGTGCGAGGCTCGGAATCAGCCGCTCAGGTGCTCACGATTATGACCAAACTGGGCGTGTCCGAATCGAGCCTGGCCCGGGACAAGTCCTCCCTGCCCGTCCTTTTGTCGCGAAGCCCGGCGGGACTTTTTCGACTCGTGGCCTTTCTTTCGAGCACAGCTGTRCGCATGCCCCTGGAAAAAATCGGGCCTCTCCTGCGCGAGCGGTCGGGACGGGAGTTGATGGACACGCTGGTGCCAGTTCCAAACACGAGCTTCAGCAAAGTGCGAAGAAGCGATGAGGCTGCTCCGACGAATGACCAGTTGGACGAAGAAGCCACAACCTCCACCTTATTCGATGATGCTGCTGCGTGGTCCCGTACCCGCATGGAGCGCCAGGAGCGGATCGAACGTACTTACGCCAACATGGTGAAAACCGCATCTTTGCTAAGAGCCCAGACCGGATCGAACGATGTTAGCCGCGTTATTTCGGCCTTTCCTAGTGTTCTCCTTCTAGACGCCGAAAAACAAATTTTGCCCGTTGCCCGCTATATGATGGGTGGCCTTGGGATTTGGAAGGACGACCTGAGTAGCGTGATCAAGCTGCACCCGACGGTACTCGGGAAATCGATCGAAGAACTGGAAAAGACCGTGAGCTACGTCCTCGCACAGGGCGTYGAGGAAGATGCGCTGGCGGGAATCTTTCGTGCTTTTCCCGGCCTCTTTGCGCTCGAAGTCGAAACCATGCAAACCGTAGTCGACTACCTGAAAAGTATTGGTGTGCGGGACATCGGATCATTTATCACGAAGCTCCCTCCYATATTGGGATATTCCGTGGAAAAAGACCTTAAACCCAAGTGGGAATTCCTTAAGACGGTTTGCCTCCAACCGGAGTTTGAGCTGGCACAGTTTCCGGCCTATTTTTCCTATCCCTTTGGTAGGGTGATCAAAACCCGGTTCAACTACCTGGCATACAAGGGGATTTCCATCCGTTTCGTCTCGATGCGGATCGATACCGTCCTACGGTTTGGAGACGTTGACTTTGCAACCAAGGTGGCGGTCGATGACGATGGAGGAGCAGCTTTTCGCAGGTTTGGGAAACAGCGAGAGAGTCGCTCGGCAAATGGACACGCGCGGCGCATGGCGTCTTCCAAGAAGAAAAAGAATCACGGACGGCGAAACGATCAACGAAAGCGGAACTTTCACAAGAACAGCAAAAATGGCGCAACATCTAGATTCGAGAAGAGATACATCAACAACAACAATTATAACARCAATAACGGAAGCAGGAATTCCAACAGCAACGATCGCCGCCGGAAGGAACAGCARTCTCGACAAACCGAGTCTCCATTGGAAGCGGCCAAACGCCTTTCTAGGGACATCGACAATGCCAAGGATCTGGCCGAGCTCAATAAGTCCTTTAGGGAGGCCATGCCCCTTCGAAACCGCCGGATTCCACCGCAACAACAGAAACGAAATACAAAGCAACCGGCGCAAAAGCCTAACATCATCACGAAGCAAATACAGGAGAAAAACGATGAAGCAGACGACGCGTCGTGGCCAGTTACGGCGTAAAAATAATGGTGTTTCACTTCGTCAATCATTCGATTGAGGGCAAGCATGACAAACTAGATTGAAAATCACCGTGCCGCACTCCATGTGACGAACCAATGATAAATAATAATAGAACCTGTATTATATCTTAGGTCTTCTCCTTTTTGAGCGACCTGATCGCTTAGTAGGCCAATGGCGACCACTGTTATACACACTTCACCATCAGAGATACTTTGCTGTTCTTTTCTTTATCGCAGCTCTTTGCTGTTTGTCCTTGGTGAAGATGCCGTCGGCTTTGCCTTACATCAAACTTTTGATTTCTTTTTCTTTTCTTCAATGCTGAATTGAATGTTGTGGTCAAATATGGTAACGTACTATGCTCAGAATTGCTATCCAACAAGATTCGCGATCTAAAAGATGGTATATTTTGTTTCATACAGAGATGCCAAGGTAAGAAASATCAGTTGTGATAAATTACCATCATTATTTTTCTTTWTGRCGACCATWGCTTGCTACGTTCTCTTTCCGTAAAGTTTAATRTCAAGGACGAGATCGGGTTGGTAGGGGATCCGAGGATTGCAATAAAATTGGTACCATCGCTGGTAGGCCCCGTCGGGGGCATCTTTCGGTGGGATCGGCCCGATTGACCCMTCGTTGCCGGCCAGACAGCGCTTGTTGTTGGATGCCGGAGAAGCGTTCTTGTTCTGCTGAATCAGCGCGTTGAATCCCAAGCTGTTGGGAACGATGACCCTCCGGATGCCACCGGGCTTCATAGCCGGTATCCCCTCCTCCTCGCTTCCAAGGATGGCCAGCTCGATTCCTTTTATCGTCGATCCGTCGCCGAGGGTCCACCGGTAGGGAGCGTCTCCGTTTTTGGTGCTGTAGATCGACGGGAAGCGTCCGGCGGTCGAGGCCATCGAAAAGTCGATGCTGCACGTGGATCCCACCGCCAGGGCTTCCCCGCTCCCGACCTTGGCATCGGCCCAGCGGAGCCCCGAGGTGGGGGCAGTTGTCAATATCAGTCCATTGGGTGTCTTGGCGGAGGCGACCGATGGTGCCGCCGCGGTTGCCGCGAGCAAAGCAACGGCTCTAACGGTGGCGGAGCGACGAGATAACGATATGGGATCCTCTCTCACATTCATTCGTTGGTCCGATTCGCGTTCGTATTCGCGTTCGCTGGCCATGGACAAGGAGCGGAGGGGGCGACGAACAGCTGTAGTACGTCTATGTTGCCACTGCAAAACACTTGTTGCATGTTCAAATCCGTTCGTGCTGCCGACGAGTGAAAGAAAAAGGAKTATYGCTGCTGCCACCGCCAACAAGCCAGCGGAAYTCATGCAGAATGCCATGTTGGTAAAATRCTTGTTTTGCTTCCGAAAACCGATTTTCGATTTTTGTTCAATTGGTATCCCCGGTTCATACAACMAGGTCATGTCAACAAAATAATTGAACCTTTTCRTTGAGACACTTAGTTTCGATGGAAGATCGTGACGAACTAGAAGGGGCATTCGTTCGTGATTGAATATCATTCCCAGGTACCCGTGACCCGACCGATCCCAAGAATTTTACGGTGACGTATGCAACCAACAACAACGCATCCTACCACCGTGCTTTTTCGAAGCATGCAAGCGCCTTCTATTTACGAAGTTCGTACGGTTTTTCTACGATGGCTATCCGTATTCTGTCGTCATGCGGTTTGCATGAATTTTGCTACGGTGCGAACTCCGTATGTAGAGATGGTSGACCAAACCAACGAACGAACACGAWACGCTGTGCGTCTATTTCAGCGCGTAGTGTAGAATCGTAGATACGCAGTTCCAAACTACAACAACGATTGCCTCCTGCCTGGCCCATCATCGAGTCACCCATCGGTTCTCACGAGCAGTCTTCCTTTTCCATCCCTACAGAGGACCACAATAAATTTTTTACCAAATTTTCAACAATGAAGGTCTCTGCCGCAGCTATTCTTCTTTCCCTCAGCGGTGCTTCCGCCTGGTCCCAACCTAGCCGTCGGGACCTCCGATCGCTCGGACAAAAGACGGTTTCTATGCAAACCACTTCCCGCACTAATGGAAACACCATGAAGATGGAAGGTGCGTACTTTGAAAAGATTACTGAAAACAACTCGAGTTATGTCCAGAACACAACTGGCATATAGATGGTGGCAGGAGACTTTGGTACAAATAGGAATGCTGTTATGGAACTGCTTTGCGTATYATTTGAATGGAGAGTTGCAGTTCCAATTTAGAATCTTTCGTAGATTGACTCTCGAGGCCATGGTTCGTACCGTGTCCGATGGAGAACGAGCGTGAGATGTGGAACCTTATTGAAAGACCAAAAAGAACACAACAATTTGCGAACKCCCAAAGTTCTGRTTCAAAGCTTCTGATTTGTACACTTGTTGTTAATGCAACACGCTACACACCGTCCTGACGAGGCTTGGCTTGTATTTAWATGGTTTGATGGGTGTAATCAGARAAGACRAAGAAACTCACGCACATTCGTATTCTATGCATCAACTCCAATGCTCCGTTTCTATTTTGTATCAATGTAACTCTCTGCTGTAAACATATCGACTCATCCGTATTTATTTATTTCTTTTTTGTTGATCGCATTCTTTGCTACAATGCACCACAGATTTCGGTTTCCTCAAGGGAACCGGAATTGGATTCGAAGACCTTTGGGAAGGAGAGGAAGTCATCTCCGAGTCCGCCCTCGAAGCCCGTCTCAACAAGGACGGACTCCGATTCCGCATGAACCGAACTCCCGAGGAAGCCGACGAAGTCGGACGCCTCGAGGGACTTCCCGGAGTCACCGTAAACCTCCCCATCATTGGTGAGACTTTCTTGGGACCCCCCAAGGTCGAATCCATCTGGGAGGCCATTGGATTCACCGCCACCTCCAACAACGAGGCCCGACAGCTCGAAAAGAAGAAGGCCATCGAAAAGTGCAAGATCGCCAAGGAGGGTGTAAGCGAGAACCAAACCATGTTCGGACCAGGAGGCGGTGGTGCCGATACCCGAAAGGACTGGCTTGACAAGTACGGATACCCCCGACTTGTCGGAACAGGAGGAATCTTCTACGCYGAYCAATTGTCCAGCGACAAGGAACCATCGGGTGGATTCAACATGGGAAAATCCGGATCCATCTGGCCTGTTCCTGATGTTGTCAAGGAAGGACAATATGGAGGCAGCATGGGATGGGGTATGAAGAAGAAGGGACCCGCCGTTGACGGTCTCGCCAAGGAAAAGCTTTAAACAGAAAGCYACTGCCCAAAACTCTACTTACATCCCATTAGCCTAGCACAGCAYGGCAACCCATACTGTGTMATGGTGCCTACTTTTCGATGCAGTGATGACRCTCGTKCTGAATACAACAAACGTACTACGATAGCATCATTCATAGCCTCGTTGTGATATAGATTTCATTATTACTTTTAATATCACGACATGTATCATTGCCTTACAAGAACGAAGCCTTGGACGCKTTTCTCCAGTCGTTACTCGCTGTGATAAAATGTACRTTGTGATAGCCCCGCCGTATAACAACCACAGCGAAGCAAATCCTATGTYACAACGTCGAATTATTATAACGAGATGGTGATTGTCAACTTCAAAAACTTTGGCAGATTGCTGGTGTATCGTATAATGGTTTTTTCACTTTTTAATTTCTGAGAACGTAGGATCGTGGTTTGTTTATATTGGTTTAGTCTTGACCATAAGTGGAACCATGCATTCTCATCTGGAGTGGAATAAAATAAGAAGGGGGAAAGTATCATCGCACACACGACAGGAACGAGGAAAGTGCACCAGAAACTACCCGCACCCATCAAAAGCACATTGTAGCGAGGAACGGACAAGGATGTGTTGCACGCGCCAAACCAATCGTTGAGGAGCCRATTGGCTTGGTTTTCTTTCCTGTTCAAATCGGCAATCGAACCATTGGTTACAAGCACTGCAATATTTTCTCCGAATAGGCAATTGTTCCTCTTTTCAATGAATCTTTTGAAAATGATGTGCACCAGTGATTTTGTGCGACGAACGACGACAAAGCAAGGTAGCCGATCTGATTTGTGAATTACAGTAAGTAAGAGTTTGTATGCGTGGATGCACTAACACTCAACAAAAGCGCTGGATGAAAAGCTTTCGTCGAAAAACCAGCTCTCAGCGTCCCTTCTTTGTACATTAGGGTTCTCAAAAATTTGAAAGATGGGCACTTCGGACTGCTTCTGACTCCTCGGCAGAAGCTTTCAACCAGGGATTTTGTGAGGCAACTGTCGGAAGTGATGACATCTTCACGGTTGTTCAATCCTCCCAATGCTAACCGAACGCCAAAAAAGACAAGCGCAATGTAGCTTGAATCACTTCCAAGTAAYAGGCCAGCATGGTCGAAATGGGTAAAAAGTCATCTAGGTCACTTTACGTCATGATATGCCATGTTGTACATGCGATGGAATACGATATAAAAGTATCGTTACACGCCGAGGAAAACCAATATTAGGCCTGATTGCGTTGCGTTGCGTTGCGTTGCCTTGAGCTGTCCTGTGTTCCGTTATTCAATTATTCAATTGATTTATTTGGTTGTGTCATGCGAGGTTTCGTTATTTTGTGCGAGCTTGAGATGCGTTCCGTTCCGTTCAGTTCTGATTTCTGTTGACGTTTTACTGTAGTGGGTTCGCAGCAAGCTTTTCGGGTTTTTCTCATCTGCTCTGTACTATCGTACTTACGAGGTACCGTACCGGACGGTACTGTAACAAGTAGTTGCAATTTTCAATTCGCTCTTGTACCGAATCTACTGTAATATCGTACCTCGAGTTCGTATGTACCGGTACTTGGTTTGTTTCGGGCCTTGGCCGGCCGGGCCACACAACCAATCTGCTTCGATTGGTTAATTTTTTGATTRGATTAGTTCGACTAAATAATGTTCGAAGTTCTTTGTGCAACCAACCAGTTTTATTTTTTTTCCATTGTGCAGTACGAGTACCAGTTACCATAACTGGTACTCGTATTTCGAGGTGACGTGTGGAAGGCGTCAAGGATCACTTCAAGGAACAGCCAATCACACACGAGTGTAGTGGGCGTTGACTTTTTGGTTCGACCCAAAATTTCCATCCGACGTTGCCTAATTTGTTCGCAAGAGTACGTATCGGTACCGTACAACCGTAAGAGTTACGAGTATCGTTACGTAGTATTGGATGTTCCACCGTACCCGTACGATTGACGACGACATGTGTTGATACCTCCACTCCAGATTCGCTCAACTTAAATCAACTACCGGTACGTCGTACCAGGTGCCTCTCCATCTTGACCCTTCTTCGTTTCTTTTGAGCCGTTGAGGGTCGCTCTCTTCTGTTGTTGTTGCACTTCAACTTCAGCTTCCGACCCATTTTGCACCCGCATACCAGCATCAAGCGCGGCAAAACACACCTCACGCCAATCACCAGTATACCCTAGCACGCTCCATYGATAGAACAGACGATACGTGTGGTAATTGAAACCATGAGAGTCGCGGCGATCTGTCTCAGCGCGCTGCTGGCGGTGATGATCCCCACGAGGAGCAGCCTGGCCCTTGCCACCGCCAAGAGCAGMGGCGTCTTTGGGGTTCCCCACGGTGGATCTACCGCGACGACGACRAGAGCATCTACTCAGATTGCTAGCGCCGCCACGATGGATGCCTCGACCGAGGTTCCCTCAACGGTGAGTGGCAGTCGTTTGTGCAGAAATAATGACAATCAATGGGTTTTGTCTTTTCCCGATCAATCATGCCCATGTAATCTCGCTCCTATCTATAGTTTCTGGTGGCACGCTAGTGCGAACGAAGGAGTCGAGCCGTCGTCTTTTGCCTTTTCAAGTGTTTGCTAACTATTTGTTTCATTTTCTTTCTTCCTTCTTTTGTTCMAAAGCAGGATGACAGACGTCCCATGCACATTCTATTCTTGTCGGCAGATACTGGAGGGGGCCATCGAGCAAGCGCCGAGGCTCTTGCCAAGCAGGTAAGTGTAAAGACTTGAATCGATTCCCTCGGCAATAGTRTGGATTTGTCTTTTCGGGTTCTATCAACTTTTAGTCCATGCCACTCACTTTCCCTCCCAATCTCCTTCGTTTCATGCGGATGGAATTTTTGCCACCGGTAACCGTCAACTATGGCAATCACAATGCGATGTTCCCATACGGATCACTATTTATTGGAATGTTGTGCATTCGCATTTATGCAACAATTTTTGCTACCGCAACCATCACGACAAAAAACACTCGACAATTTACTCTTTCTGACGTCGGAACACGACCGTCCATACCAAACCCAAATAAAACAAAAAAAAACTAGTTTCTGATTCAGTTCCCAGGATCGACCTACGAATTGGTCGATATTTGGTCTGATCACGGTATCTTTCCGTACACTAACCACGTGGAATTGTACAAGCAGTGGTCGGCAAAACCATGGCAATGGCGTCTGTTTTATCACCTGTCGAACACGAAGGTCAACGAGGTGGTCTCCAACCTGCACTCTAGATTCCTCTGCGGGGACTCTATCAGGSAACGGCTCAAATCTGACAAACCCGACGTTATTGTTAGTGTCCACCCGGCCATGAATCACACACCACTCAAAAGCACCCACAAGAACTCCAAGGAACTTGGGAAGCACATTCCATTTTTCACCGTCGTGACGGACCTCGGGAGCGCACACTGTATGTGGTTCGAGCGCAAGGTTGACAAGCTGTACGTAGCTAGTGATCGCCTCTACAAGCTAGCGCGCCGGCGGGGAGGAACGGCCCCGGAGGACATTGTCCGCACCGGATTGCCCATTCGTCACGGATTTGCTGATCAGGCAGAAAAATTGGGACAGGACCGAAGTGCTCCCCAGGGAATTCAATATCAGGCCCAGGTTCGAAAGGAACTCGGAATTGCACCAGACAAACAAATGGTTCTGGTCATGGGTGGCGGAGAAGGCGTTGGATCACTCAGTGACATTGTCAACAATATTTATGCCGAGCTCAGCAGCAAGGGTGTCGACGCGACCATCTGCGTTGTCTGCGGGCGCAACGAAAAGCTCAAAAATGAGCTGGCGACGAGAAATTTCGACGAGGYGATTGAAGAAATCAAGGCCAAGGCCGAGAAACGGCGCAATGGAGTCCGGGGAGTGCTGGGCAAGGTCCGACGGAAAAATCGCATCGCTGCACGGCAAGCCGCAGAGGCATCAACGGCAACAATGAGCCAAAAAGGCAACATCGACGTGATGCCGCTAGGATTCTTGACCAACATTCCCGAATACATGGTTGCAGCCGACGTGTTGGTGTCCAARGCCGGTCCCGGAACGATCGCAGAAGCGGCAGCCGTTGGTCTCCCAGTGATGATGACAAGGTGCGTGTTGGCAGTTTTTGGAAAAACACAMTTCTTTTGATCTGGAATGATTCGAATCAACGTAGAGGCYTTTCTATTACCGCGCTCTTGCWTAGATTTCGAAAAAGGCTCCTAACCTTGTGTCGTCTGCTCGTCATTTTCCTCATTWATGTGCTGTTTTCACAGTTTCCTCCCTGGCCAAGAAGCTGGCAACGTCGATGTTGTCCTAGAACAGAATTTYGGAGAATTCGAGAAGCGACCCGAAAAAATWGGAGAGCGCGTCACAGCGTGGCTGCAAGACAAAACACTATTACAMACCATGAGTCAGGCGGCCATGGTGGCTGGCAACCCTTATGCCGCTAACGAGATTGTCGAAGACATTGGGCGACAAACGGTAGCATGGATGAACCTGAACGAGAAATAAGGCAATAGKGACAAGACGCTCACTCACACATGTGTACCTACGGGTACAATTAGCAAGTTATCACTATCATAATTTACCAAAAACAAAGGATTACTTCAACATCATCTGCACAATATTTTTSAAKTAAGCAGATGTGCTCGTTTTGYCCAAACAACTAATTGAATTGTTATACTGTATCATACTTTTTACACAACGAGTTACTGTAATTATTACAGTATTGTCAATCTCCTTTTTGGTCTTTTCCGCATTTAGTGTTTTCCAAACCACGGAGGACATAAAACACAAATTTCTACTATAGCGCTGGAAAACTCTTCCTTAGTTAGTAATCTTGGAATGTCTTGCAGCAGAATTCATGGGTGATTCGCGTTAATAGAGTGCTAAATGTGCTAAATCTATGAGTTTAGCACTTCTATAATAACGGGAATCAAAATTTAAACAGACAGTCCGAGAGGAATGCTGGCTTGATGCCAGTCTTTTTGGGAATTTGGAATCTTAACTATACTCCAATGTAAAGACTAAAAAGACTGAAAACACGCGCCACTTCTTGTTGTTGGTACAAGGAAAAACACAAATTTTTGGATTGATACTCCAGTAGGAGGAACACACACATTTTTCATACTACTCTCATAATTCCATATAAAAAATATGTACATTCCTTGCACCAGCTAGTAACAAGTCAACAAACAAACCATTCCTAGCCACACTAAAAGACAAGACTTTCCTCACAGGAGCAAGAAAAAAGAAGGCAAGAACATCAACAATGGGAGTAGTGGAGGTCATCACCATGTACTGGTACATGCAGTTGAACACAGACGAGCAGCAAAGAAGTTATAAAAACAAACTATCTCCAGAAGAGCTTGGAAGGAGGGAAAGGAGACAACCACAACTTTCTTCAATCAGGAGATAGGTTGATTCCCCCTTCATATATCTCTTCCTCTCAGGGAAGGACCAAGCGCTCCTCAACTGCTGTGGTGTAGACCACAAGGTCTTCAGGGAGCTTGTTGACCTGTTTGCTCCAATATACAACAAGTTCACTGTCAACAACAACAATGATGAAATTGTGGAAGTTCCATGTTATCCAAGAAGTGGCAAGCCCAAAGGGAAGAAAAGGGAGGTTGATGCAGTCTGTGCTATTGGACTGGTGGATTGGTTGCAAGGTCAATGACCATGGCCTTTGGCTTGATGTCCACAGTGATGTTCAAGTGGCTGAAGTTTTCAAGGAGAGTGATACTGTTTGCCCTAAACAAACACCCAGACGCCATTGTCAGTGTTGTTCCAAGAAGTGGATAGTTATATTAAAGCTATTGGAGACAAGTATCCAAGGCTTGGAGAACAACTTGTTTGGGGTGCTGCTACATATTAGCATTGAGTCTACAAGAAGACGATTCTAGCAAGTGTCAATCAAGCCTCAAGTGCTTTGGTCTCCAACACTCGCCCTATTACCCAGTACTTTACGCCAATGCCTCATAGTAAGCAACCACCAGAGAGCGTCACACAAGATTCACTGGTCTTTGACGCCTACTCCAAAAAGAAGCAACACAAACAACCTGTCATGTCAGATACTTCTCTGGCTCCCCGTGTCAATTCTTCCAGTTTACTTCAAACCAAGCTCAGTCAATACTTTTAATTCCAGTGAAACAAACCCCTGGTTGCACTTCCACTAACACTCCTTGGAGGGAAGTGCCGCCCCTTGGAGCAGCTAGGAGCATTCTTTCTAACAAAAGCTATGGTTCTGGCCATATAGTGCCTCTTCTACTAGTTCACGAGGTAAAATATAACATTAAGATTTTTTTGTTTGGGGTGCTGCTGCTGATGGACTGAAGCAAGTGATTGAAGCCTCTGGAGACTGGTGTAAACAAAGACCATTCTACAATGCATGGAAGGAGAACACCTATGTCAGTATTGTCTTTGCCTTTGCCCCAGATGGTAGAATATGGATTTCAGTGTACAACTGCCTGAAGACAGGAAATAGAATGTACCAACTAAGAGCACTGATCAGGACATAGTTTCTTATGCGCCACCATAGAGTGGCCTGGGCACCATTGTTAATATTGGGACACATCTCTCTTTGTTCTTCTTTAGGGTGATAACTGGGTCTTCATTTTGTCGAGTAGTAGTGTTAAGAGGATTCTGGTGCGCTTTCAGCTGAATCTTACAACAGACGAGAAATTTTGATTCATGGGTCCCATCATAGATCTACTAGCACATTTAGAATGGGATTGGTTGACCCATTCTAAAAATGCTAAATCTATGACAACATGTCATAGATTTTTGGTATGTCTGTCTATCAAATTTAGCATTTCTACTATTAACGGGAATCACCCAATGTACCAGTACACGTACAATTTTACTGCTTGACCCTCCTGCAATAGCAATCATATGTTTGTGCAATACGTACGGTACAATACGGTACCTGCCATCTGCCATCTGCCATTGGTATGTACGTACTTAAAGTTCATGCCGTTCCCCCTTCCCCCCCTACCTGTTTAGAGCTACTAAGTACGGGCCCAATAATGGCAAGTTATTGGCAATCCCCCGGGTGTCAATTTTTTCTCATTTTCCCGTCTTTATTTGTTCCACTCTCCCCCCCCCTCCACACAAAAAATACTACCAAGTCCTAAAATATTTCTATTAGTGCTCCTTACTACTGGGGATATAAAATCAGTGCTTACTACTTGAGAATTAATATTAGTCTCGTAGCACCAACAGAACCCCCTTACCCAGCAGTTTGAAGTTTTCACTACTATGCCATCCCAACTAGTAAGTAGTAATGGAGGTGATCCAGTAGTAAGCAGTAATATTAATTCTCAAGTAGTAAGCACTGATTTTATATCCCCAGTAGTAAGGAGCACTAATAGAAATATTTTAGGACCAGCGAGAAATTAAACAATGGAAATATTTTTATTTTTGTCCGTTGGATGCCTTTTTTAACTGGTTTTAACTGTAAAAATGAGCTAAAAATTTCTATTAGTATTTGTACGGGGATTGCCGATAACTTGCCATTATGGGGCCCGTACTTAGTAGCTCTATACCTGTTTGCCGGAATCACTAGCACTGACGTTGTCGATGACGACAAACACTGCGTACGTAGTAAGTACCGTGAGAGATCATACAGTACGTACGTACGAGTACGGGTATCATGTACAACGGACTTTTCACAACAAGAGCGAAAAGAAATATTGACGATGAACGAAACCAAAGGATATCTGTTCCAATAAAGTGAACAGTATCTGAGCCATAGACGTAGTAGTTATGAGCATTTCATCAAGTACTGTACAAAGCTAGCTGAACAAAGTCGCCCAAGATGACGAGAAGGGCTATTCCGGCCGCGGAGGATTCCAGTTTTGCGGTCCTCTCAACTGGAAGTCCAAAAATTGCGAAAAGTAGTGCTGTTCTCCGGGAAAATGAAGAGCAGGAACGGTACGAACCTCGAAGAAGTAGGCGTAGGCCACCGCGGCCAGGAAGAAGGAATTATCTATACGATGACTCAAAAATCAGTTCTTCGCGCACAATTCTTACGTCTAAGATGGCAATATTTTTCTCCTTGCTGGTATCCTGTATTCATGCCTTCACCTTTTCGACGATGTCACAAAAGTCTTTCTCATCGCTCCCATCACCAACAGCATNTACTGTAATTATTACAGTATTGTCAATCTCCTTTTTGGTCTTTTCCGCATTTAGTGTTTTCCAAACCACGGAGGACATAAAACACAAATTTCTACGATAGCGCTGGAAAACTCTTCCTTAGTTAGTAATCTTGAAATATCTTGCAGCAGAATTCATTGGTGATTCGCGTTATTATAGAATGCTAAATGTGCTAAATCTATGAGTTTAGCACTTCTATAATACCGGGAATCAAAATTTCAACAGACAGACCGAGAGGAATGCCTGCTTGATGCCAGTCTTTTTGGGAATTTGGAATCTTAACTATACTCCAATGTAAAGACTAAAAAGACTGAAAACACGCGCCACTTCTTGTTGTTGGTACAAGGAAAAACACAAATTTTTGGATTGATACTCCAGTAGGAGGAACACACATATTTTTCATACTACTCTCATAATTCCATATCAAAAAATATGTACATTCATTGCACCAGCTAGTAACAAGTCAACAAACAAACCATTCCTAGTCACACAAAAAGACAAGACTTTCCTCACAGCAAGAAAAAAGAAGGCAAGAACATCAACAATGGGAGTAGTGGAGGTCATCACCATGTACTGGTACATGCAATTGAACACAGATGAGCAGCAAAGAAGTTATAAAAACAAACTATCTCCAGAAGAGCTTCGAAGGAGGGAAAGGAGAACACCACGACTTTCAATCAGGAGATATGTCGATTCCCCCTTCATATATCTCTTCCTCTCAGGGGAGGACCAAGCGCTCCTCAACTGCTGTGGTGTAGACCACAAGGTCTTCAGGGAGCTTGTTTACCTGTTTGCTCCAGTATTCAACAAGTTCACTGTCAACAACAACAACAATGATGAAATTGTGGAAGTTCCAAGTTGTTATCCAAGAAGTGGCAAGCCCAAAGGGAAGAAAAGGGAGGTCAATGCAGTCTGTGATATTGGACTGGTGGATTGGTTGCAAGGTCAATGGCCATGGCCTTTGGCTTGATGTCCACAGTGATGTTCAAGTGGCTGAAGTTTTCAAGGAGAGTGATACTGTTTGTCCTTAACAAACACCCAGACGCCATTGTCAGTGTTGTTCCAAGAAGTGGATAGTTATGTTAAGGCTATTGGAGACAAGTATCCAAGGCTTGGAGAACAACACGCTTGGGGTGCTGCTGATGGACTGAAGCAAGTGATTGAAGCCTCTGGAGACTGGTATAAACAAAGACCATTCTACAATGCATGGAAGGAGAACACCTATGTCAATATTGTCTTTGCCTTTGCCCCGGATGGTAGAATATGGATTTCAGTGTACAACTGCCTGGGGGCTTGGCATGACAACAGTGCCATTGCTGAGCATGGTTTGTACCAAAGAATTGTGAAAAGTGTCCACAGAGAGTATAATGGTGGAAAGGTTGTGGTGGATTCACCAGCATTTGCTTTGAAAGATTACAAGGATAGCCTCACCAAGAGCTCACAGAGGGACCCAGAA